TACTTTGGGGTATCGGTTTCTGAGCCCCAACAGGACAGTTGATGAAACTTGAATGGGGTGAGAGGATTAAACAGCAGTCATGTACCAGGGTTAGCCTAGCGATAAGACCCCTGCCATTCCCAGCTCACAGAAATTGAAACTGCCTCTATTCGGAAGCCATGAGCCAATGAGCAAATGTGTGCCCACCGGAGGAACTCAGTAAACATTTCTCGCCCTCCTCCCTCTTCCTTCTGAGCACAGCCATGGGAAACATCCCCCCGGCTTCACCTAACACGCAGTCTGGTCTCTGAAGCATCTGAACTGCGTGAGACGCGTGAAGAATGTTTTGTTATTAGCCCTGAGTAGGATAGTATTTGAGAAAGTTTTGTTTCCTGCTGCCCCGGGGTTGTCCCAAAGGAGGGTATATGAACACCCATTCACAGTACCTTGCTTGCGATTCCCTTTGAAACCTGTTCCTAGGAGCCTGGGGCCAGGTCCCTCCCGTGTTTGGCTGGCTCGACGCTGCGTGCATCTGAGGTTCGCTAGTGCCAAACTAGTCTCCTTCAGATTTACTGCCTTTGATTCCAGCACAGGGTAACCTCAAGGCAACTACGGGGTGTGTCACAGCCTCCCACCCCCAACTTGGTCAGGGTTTACCTACTTCTGCCACTTACTGTTGGTCTGTAGAAAAAAAAAATCCCTGCTTGTGGGAAATGTGCAGATCGGGAGAGACGGGGATGCAAGAAAGCTTTGTAAACTGTGGGGTAGGGAGTTTTTGTTGGGTCTCATTCACAAACAGCCTGTTTTCTCATCGCAGAGCTCTCCCATAGAGTCACCCAAGAGAATCAATGCCCACACCAGTCATGGAGAAAGCCAAAGAACTATTCATTACAGATGATTAAGGTCCTTTTTTATACTGAGACATTATGAAATAAAAACAAGTCAACCTGACTGTTTGGGTGGCCAGAGAAAGAAAGAGATGAACATTAATTTAGCGATGTCCACACATTCAACTGTACTGCTGAGTATTTACAGACCAGGTATTATTACGAAAATAGGTATGAACAAAACAGACCAGTGCCTGCCCTGAAGAAGTTCCCCATCTGGTAAAGGAGAGGTGGGTAAATGTGTACTAGGCACAGGCCACGTTACTATCTGAAGCCACCTCTCATAGTTCATTTCCTTCAATTTTTACTATGCTAGAGGAGAAATGTTATTATGCCCATTTTACCGATGAGGAAATTGGGGATCAGAGATATAAATACCTGAAAGAATTTCTGTAAAAGCACCTAACATAGTAGGTTGCTTTGCAGTATTTTGTTCTCTGGTTCCCTCCCTACTTCCTACCCCAAGTATTCCTGCAATCACCAGGACCTGGCTTTGACTTCAAATGTCCCGCTTTTCTCATTGTCCTTGCTGGGGCAAAAGGAACCGCCAGGCTTCTCTGGGATCAGGAGCAAGCAAATTATCTAATGGTTTTAGATGCTGATAGAATGATCAATCAGTTCTGATATTCTAGTAAGGTAGCTCTAATGCATACAAAATAAGAATATTTATTTAAAATCAAAATAAGAACTCTAGAATTCAAGTGACACTACAATTAGAATTTTTTTTTTTTTTTGAGACAGAGTCTCACTGTGTTGCCCTGGCTAGAGTGAGTGCCGTGGTGTCAGCCTAGCTCACAGCAACCTCACACTCCTGGGCTCAGGTGATCCTTCTGCCTCAGCCTCCCGAGTAGCTGGGACTACAGGCATGCGCCACCATGCCCGGCTAATTTTTTTTTTTACATATATTTTTAGTTGTCCAGATAATTTCTTTCTATTTTTTTTAGTAGAGACGGGGTCTCGCTCTTGCTCAGGCTGGTCTTGAACTCCTGAGCTCAAACAATCCGCCCACCTCGGCCTCCCAGAGTGCTAGGATTACAGGCTTGAGCCACCGCGCCCGGCCTACAATTAGAATTTTAAACCTCTGCTTATCTAAATTTTCTGATTCTTCTACTACAGGCCCTGTAACAGAGTAGTTAAGCCAACAGTTTCTGGTTTTGGGGCCTTGGCTAAGCTATTTCACTCCTCTGAGCTTCAGTTTTCTCCATTGTAAGAGTGAGGGAGAGTGTCCATGAGCAGGAAGATGAGTGCGTGGAAGTGCCTGGCACAGAGTCTGTACCCAGTATAGGCAGCTGTTGTCATTTATCACCATGGATCATGTGCTTTTATAGTTGTGGATTTCAAGCTGGAAACTTAAATTTAATTCTTAAGTCAGAGACACCTAAAACTCTTAGAAACTGGGTACAAATTTGAAAGGTGAGTGAGCCTCAGCTTTCCTGGGGCAGCACTGTGGGACAGGACCAAATGCAGAGTCACCTCTCAAAAAGTAAATGGGGCTGGGCACAGTGGCTCACACCTGTAATCTCAGTGCTTTGGGAGGATGAGGTAGGAGGATTGCTTGAGGTCAGGAGTTTGAGACCAACCTAGGCAACATAGCAAGACCCCATCTCTACAAAAATAAAAAATTAGCTAGGCATGGTGGCGCACGCCTATGGTCCCAGCTACTGGGGAGGGTGAGGCAGGAGGATCACTTGAGCCCAGGAGTTTGAGGCCACACTGAGCTATGGTCAAGCCATTATGCCACAGCCTAGGTGACCAAGCAAGACGCCAGAGCTCCTAAGGAAAGATTCAAATTTCCAAACAGTGACATATATGAAAATTAATAAGATCTCAATCAACTGAGAGACCTTAAGTCCTGGGGTATGGCACATGAATGTGGGGGTTGAATGAGATTTACCCTTTGCCAATAAAGTTTTTGTTGAATACAGTTAATCCACTTCCTACTATGGAAGCTGAGGTCTGAGCACTCTTTACCACCTTCTCTGTGTCACTCCATATGTCCAAAATTCCCTCTTCCTCACCATCCTAATATGGCTATTTCTCAATTTTTTCATTAAATCAAATCTGGATATGGGTTCGTATCATTATGTGGGTATAATTATTTCTTTTTAAAAGCTGAATTGTGTGCATTATTGATGATTTAATGATTTAATTTATTAAATCAATCACCTATTGATTCACATGTTGGTTTTTCTCCAACCTTTTGTTATTGTAATGAATATTCAATATTTGATCCAAGCTTTGAGCACACGTGGGAGTGCTTCTGCAAAATAAATTCCTGGAAGTGAATTTGCTTTGCTAGATGTTGCCAAATTGCCCTCTAACAAGGTTGTATGAATTAATATCCTACAAGATTGGAGAGGGCCTCCCCTGACACTAGCGTCAACACAGTGTATTAGCAAACAGTTTGATCTTTGCCAATCATGTAAGTGGCTATTTTCTATTTTAAGGGTTTGGTGAGCATTACTACGCTAGTCATGTGTTCTAAGGATTGCACGGTCCAGAAAGGGGATAGTGAAACAATTTAAAAAATCAGGCATATGCTACCGTGTTTGGAATAAAAAGGGGCTGTGAGTTTGAAAAGAGAAAAAAGAAGCTAAAGGACATTGAGATGGGAAGGAAGCACAGGAAAGGAAGACAAACACCCTGGAAAGGAGCTCGTCTTCCAGGGTAAAGTTTCCAGTGCCGATGAGATAACCACAGGGAGATAAAAAATAAATGGAAATACAGAACTGGAAAGAAAGTTAGATTGGAACTAAGGACGTAAACACGGAGTGCCTGGAAACTTGTGAGGGGGAATGACACCTTACAGGACGATGGACGAAAACTGTAGCTGTCAGGGTGGGCAGACGCAGGGAAATGAGAGAGGCAGGTGAGCCAGGAAAGGAAACAGAGGGGAGGAGAGTTGGAGGAGGAAGAGGAGAACCAGGAAAGCTTTGGGTCCCGGAGACTTATGAGGGGCTGGTCAGTGGTTTCAGATGACACAGGAGGGAGGTCGGTGCTCAAGAAATTGGCCCAGATTCAACCAGGAGGTGTTCAGCAAAAACCTTGGAGCAGCTGCAGAGGAATAGCTATGCTCAGGGGTTCTTTAGCTTTCATATTTTAAATTCTTCACTTACAACAACTAAAAATAGTGACTTGAAACTCTTTATACCATATAGTATATAGGATACAATCCCATATAGAGTTTAGGGTTGCCTTGCCCAAACACAAGGATTTCGTATCTCCAAGCCCGTGGGTAAAGGGAGCTGATAAAATCTGCCTCATATCTTGAATAAGACGATAGATGTAAGATGCTCAGCCCATGACTGTGCTCAGTAAATGTTGATTACCCTCGATTCATACGCAGCTATTACTCTCTCCATTGTGCTGATGGAGAAACTGAGGCTTGTGAAGTCACATGACTTTCCCAAGTCAGAGAGTCAAAATATTAACAGCAATAAGCACAGCAGCCGTTTCTGAGAACTCACTCTTTCCCAGGCAGTATTTGAAGGACTCTATTTTATCATTTCATCTCGACAGCTAGTACCGGTGGCACAGAGACAACAAATACAAATTAATATTTTTCTAACTTATTCTGCCACATTCATATGGCAAATTAATATTTTCATGAAGTCTTGTGCAACATGAGAATGACGTGTCCTCCATACGTGGGGGCGATACGTCTGCCTTGCTGAGTCACCATCTGGGGCTTGTGTATGTCAGTTCACATCAGATCCCAGAGCTGCAGGGTCGATGCAACTTAAATTGACAGCTGGGCACATTTTGATTTTGTGTCCACTCCAAGGAAGAGAGGGTTGTTGGTCAACTGACAAGTGGCAACTCTCGGGGCTGTGAGTCCAGCACAGGAAGCCTCCTGCTGTGTGAAAACCCAACGCATGCTGCCTTGTCCTCTTTCGGGTCTATGAGAGCCTTCCTGATAAGCAAGCTCGGGCTTTGTGACAGCGATCCAAGCTCTGACATGGAAATAACGGCTGTGTCTTCTCTCCCCAGTCTTCCCACACCTGGTGAGGGAGCTCAACACAGGCCTTCACGTGACCATCCTGCTGCTCCTGTTCCTGGCCTTGGCCCTGGCTCTGGTCAGCACGGGCTTTGCCATTCTCAACATGGTCCAGGTCCCGTACCGGGCAGTCAACGGCCCTGGGGGCATCTGCCTGTGGAATGTCCTCGCAGGTAAGAAGTCCCCTCGGGAAAGAAGCTAGTGTCCACAGCCTCACCAAGTGGTTGGGCAGAAGGTACAAAGGAACTAAAATGCCCCCCTCAGCCTTGACTTCCCTGGGTTCTTCTCGATGGGCATGAACGTCCTCTTTACTAGAAGTTGCAGAGTCTGTGGCAGTAAAGAACCATATTCTTAGAGCACATTTGTAGCTGAGGACTTAGAGCAGCCAAGAGAGGTCCGGGTGAGAGGAGAAGGTAGAAGACAGAGCTGGGGGTAGGGAGAGGTGGGGACCCTGGGGGTGGGGGAAGAGATCGAGCTGAGGGTGGAAGGAACTCCACTAGGGACAGAAGGGAAGGAAGTGAGCAGGAGAGGGTCTGTGAAAGGCTGCTGGGTCCCGGCTCCAGGCTGAGGGGGGAAATGAGTGCCACCTAATGGCCAATGTCTTCGGAGTCCCCGGGCATATGGATGCAGACACCATGACCTCTCTTGGCTGATGGAGCTCTCCCTCCTCTCACCTTTCCAAACACCTTCACTTCTACTAGATGCTACTGATGGAGTATCCACTGAGGGCTAGGCATGGACCCGGGGATTTTGCATGCTTTACTTCATTTAAACCTCACCACCTCCCTATTAGGAGGTATTATTAGACCCATGTTTATAGACAAAGAGCCTGAGGCTCAGAGAAGTTAAAAGGGCACACAGCAATGAGTAGCAGAGGTGGCATTCCAACCCAAGTCAAATTAATTCTAAGCCCTTTGTCTTTTCATTGATCCATGGTCTCATTTATGCCAATCATGACCTATTTTCCAAGCCAAAAACTAAGACCAAAAAATATGTGTGTGTGTATGTGTGTTCATCTGAGAGTATATTGATACATGGAAATTAATTTGTATTTAATTATGCACTAATCATCTGGAATGAAAATAACGAAATCCCATGAAATGAGGCTATCTCAGAAAAGCCAGGTTAAATGGTCAAGGTGCCATTTGAAATAATCCCTCACGACATTTACCTTATACAAAGTGACCGTAAAGTATAAAAACAGGTCGTATTATTTTATCATGTATTATAATGTAATATCAAGAAATCAATTATTATGTAATCATCTTTGTTTGAAGATAGTGGCCACCCTGCAGAATTATTTGTATACATGGTTCACCATTGTCTAAACTACGGGTGTCTTGTTTATCTCTCCATGAAACCTCACAGTGGCCAGCATGTAAAAAGTGCTCAATCCTGCTTATTAAATAAATGCTTATCTCTGTCTATTTCCTTCCTCAGAGAGATAATACTCTCAAACTCTACTAATGAGAGTGTAGAAAACAGTTTTTTATCCTTTTTGATGAAACCTTAGTGCCAAAAGGCATAAAAATATGAATATCCTTCAACTGAACGATTCCACATAGAGATTTATGCTGAGGAAATAACTGGACAAGAGCAGAAGATGTACATAAAATGGTATTCACTGTAGCACTTTATAATATCAAAAATTAGAAGTAACCTAGGCATCCAGAAGTAAGTAAGGCCATACTTAAGTCAATTATAGTGTGTAGCCAGAGTAAAATGTTATGCCCCCGTTTGAAGTCATGCTGTAACAGACTATGTAACAACAGGGAAAAATAATCAAATTTAAAATCAAAGGAAGAGCGCCATAATACTCATTTTACTAAAGAGCAAGAAATGTGAAGAAATATACTAAAATGATCAAACCTGGCTTTTAGGATAAAAGTAAATTTGCATTTTCATATACATGATTTTCCCCGGTGTCCAAATTTTCTTCAATGAAGATGTAATAATCTAAAAAAGCAAAGCATAATAAGTGTGGTTTTTTAAAATATTAATTAACATCCAAGCAGGGGAGAGAGAGAGAAAGCACACGCACATTTGAGCAACCCCCACCACCAACACCAAGTTAAAAGTTTTAAGCAACAGATAGGAGAGTAAATGAAGTTTGGAATTCTTCCAGTTTTCCACTCTCTGCTTTCCCTTCCTTCCTTCTCTTATGTCTTCTTCTTAGCCTTAAAAATGGAAAGAGGATAATTAAAGAGGACAGCGACAGCCTAGCCCTGGGGTGAAACCCCAGCCGGCACAATACAGTCTTCTTTCATCTTGCCACAAAAAGCCCTCACGATCTACATAGAAATCCTGAGATATTTAGAGATTATACTTCTCCAAATGTGGCTCCCCTAGGAAGGATGGTAGTGGGTAAGGGGGAAAAAATGGAGGGATTGGGATTCAAAGCCAGTGTGACACAAAACTATTTCTCTTTTCCCCTCAACCCTGCCTTTCCACCTTACACTGTGTGGATTATATGCTGCTTTTAAAAGCAAATTAAAATTTGTGTCACCCTCATAATTTTTTAAACTCAAAGTGAGTTTGTCACATGTGCCTCAGAAATGCTAACTCACATGGAGTCATCAAACTGCAAAAAGCGCCATGAATGAGGGTGACCTTTCTGGGTTTCAGGTGGAGTCGTGGCGTTGGCCATCGCCAGCTTCATGGCCGCGGTGAAGTTTCACGACCTGACCGAACAAATCGCCAACTTTCAGGAGAGGCTCTTTCAGTTTGTCGTGGTGGAAGAACAGTTCGAAGAGTCATTTTGGATCTGCGTGGCCAGCGCTTCGGCCCACGCGGCAAACTTGGTTGTGGTGGCGATCAGTCAAATTCCCCTCCCCGAGATCAAGACCAAAATCGAAGAGGCCACGGTCACGGCGGAGGATATCTTGTATTAATGGCCTTCACCTGCTCCCGCGCTTTCCTAAATCAGTTCTGTAGCGTGAACACAGGCCCCATTTTTTTGCAGCCTTCCCACTCCATAATAGCCCTGTTCCTGGCAGTAAGAAGAGTGTGGAAGGAACAAGGCTGGTGCCTGGACCAGAAAAGGAAAACTTCCTCCAATCCCCTGCATCCCTGCACTTCTCTCTCACGACCTTGGAGTTAGAGCTGGACTTGGAGTTGGAGACTTTACCACGTGCCAGCTGCATGTGACATTAGACAATTCACCTAATATGTACTTCTCAGTTTCCGCATCTGTAAAATGGGCGTAATAAACTTGTTGTGAAGTTTGAACAGATGGCGATGTTGCCAGCCTTTGTATACTGCAGAGCACTCAACAACTATAAGGTCCTATATACTCCAATAAATGTCTATAGACCCCTGGTCTATTCCACACAATGTTGAGGGGGGTACAAAGAAATATATGATAATGTCCCTGCCATCTACAAGCACCTAATCGTTCCACATGACACAAGAATCAGACAGCAACAATAACTAAGAATGAGAATGAGTACCAGTTTTTTGAGTGGTTACTATCTGCTGAATACTGTTCTGATAATTTTGCATATATTAACTCATTAGGTCCTCCCTACAAACTCAGGTGTTAGGTACTATTTTAGCCCCATTTTATAGATGAAGAAACTAAGGTATAGAGTGGTTGGGTAACTTGCTGAGATCAGGAATTAAATCTACAAAGTCTGGAACCAGAGTCTATACTTTTAACCACTTCACTAATCTGTTGTTTGATGTATAAGCAATTGTAAGGCAATGTGATAAGTGTTATAATAGTGTAGGCATGAAAGACCAAAGAAGGAATTAAATATTCAGATTGGAATGTTGTATTAAAGAAAGTATCACAGAGTTAGCATTTGATCTGAGCTTTGAAAGATGAGTAGACTTTTTCCAGTGGTAAAGGAAGGAAGGTTGGAGAAGGGCATTCGAGGATGAGTCAGTAAGGAGGGGAGGCTCAGGACATGAAATTACAAGGACTTAGAAGCATGTGAATACCCAGCGAGATGAGAATGTTGCTCTCATCGGCCTGCTGGAGAAACCCAGCTGTTTGTGTTGGTTTTTCTTAAGCACCGCAGTGGTTAATTTTATGTGTCAATTTGTCTAGGCCATGATATCCAAACATTTGGTCGAACACTATTCTAGATGTTTTTGTGAAGACTGTTGGTAAGATTAACATTTAAATTTATAGATTTTGAGTAAAACAGATCACCCCCCATAATATGGTTGGGCCTTATCCAATCAGTTGAACGCCTTGAAAGAACAAGACTAACTTTCCCTAAGGAGAAGGAAATTCTGCCAGTAGACCACCTTTGGACTGGAACTGCAACTCTTCCCTGGGTTTCCAGCCTGCCAGCCTACCCTGCAGATTTTGGACTTACCAGCCTCCACAATTATGTAAGCCAATTCCTAAAAAATTAATCTATCTATATGTGCGTGCGTGTGTGTATACACACACACATGCACACACACAGACACACACAGACACACACATCTTACTGGCTCTTTTCCTCTGGAGAACCCTGACTAACACAGGTACACCACCCTATTAACTCATTTTCCCATAATGCTAGCTGGGATAAATCTTTTCCTAGGTCTCTGATCTTCATGCCAAACAAAAGTTGTCTAATCCCCCAAATTAGCTCCATCTAAATGACCCCTGATTTGGTGAGCAGGAAGTGATCACTGCATCTCTCTCTTCTAAATGCTTATGATTCCCGGCTAGGTCCATCTGTCCCTTCTAGCCCCTCTCCCTATCCCAAGAATAGCATCAGTACTATTCAGTGGACTGATGTCACTCATTAAAGATGCAGGTGGCACATGGCTAGAAGAGACAGTTAATGTGATAGGAGATGGATCCATAAGATAGTGGCAGACCACCATGCTGTCTTAAAAACAAGAGGAAGTGTCGGTATCATATCAAGTTTGAACACAACATCCTGGTGATGGGTTCTTAAAAAAATCAACATAAATACAGAAGAATCTGTCAACAGTTTATATGATAACTGTCTGAGGATCTTGGTACATTTATTCATTCAATGAGTATTGATACTGATCTAAGTGCTGAGAGTAGAGCAGTGAACAAACAAAAATTCCTGCCCTCCAGGTATTTGATTCTCTGAGCAGCTGGGGGTGATTCATACTGAGACAGCTTGTAATGCCGCTATGCAAAAAGTTAGCATGGCCTTAGCCTTTGACCTGCTCATTGCCTTCAGGCATGTGCAGACTGTCATGTGAAGAAGGGGACAGAATGAATTCAGTTTTGCTTCTAAGTAGAATTAGGGTTGAGCCTAATTAAGACGGACGTGTTCTAAGGAATCAAAATGCAGGCTTTTGTACGTGTGTGCAAAAGTCCACAGATTTCAAAAGAGTTTCAGAGGCATCTACAACACTTTAAAAGGTTTTTTTTTAAGTTTTGTTTTTTTTGTTTGTTTGTTTTGGGTCAGAGTCTTGCTCTGTCATCCAGGCTAGAGTGCCATGGTATCAGCCTAGCTCACAGCAACCCCAAACTCCTGGGCTCAAGCGATTCTCTTGCCTCAGCCTCCTGAGTAGCTTGGACTACAGGCACAAGCCACCACACCTGGCTAATTTTTCTATCTTTAGTAGAGATGGGGTCTCACTCCTGCTCAGGCTAGTCTCAAACTCCTGACCTCAAGCTATCCTCCTGCCTCAGCCTCCCAGAGTGCTAGGATTACACATGTGAGACACCACCGGTATAACACCTTAAAAGTTTGAAACTATAGGAGTAGGAATTGAACCGTAGAGTATGAATTGAATTAGAGGACACTGAGCTGGTGACTGACTAGATTGCTTGTTTGTTGGTGGGGAGGCATCTCCCACACTGGGTCACAGAAGTCTTCTGTCTGTGTTGATTGTTGTTGTTGAGTGTGGTGTGATAGCAAAGCAAACACACAGTTTGGTTTTTTTCCTCTCAGAGGCTACCATTTTTTGTTTTTGTTTTTATTTTTGTTTTTTGAGACAAGGTCTCACTCCGTGTCCTAGGCTGGAGCACAGTGGCATCATCAGCGCTCATTGCAGCCTCAAACTCCTGGGTTCAAGCGATTCTCCTGCTTCAATCTCCCAAGTAGCTTGGACTATAGACACACACCAACACATTTGGATAATTTTTTAAATTTTTGTTTTTGAGAGATGTGGTCTTGCTATTTTTTTCAGGTTGGTGTTGAACTCCTGACTTCAACTGATCCTCCCATCTCAGCCTCCCAAAGAGCTAGAATTAAAGGTGTGAGCCACCACACCCAGCCAGGCCCCCATCTTGTGTGGGCCAGGCACTGTGCATACTTCCTCTTTAATTCTGACAACAATTATTCAAGATGAGTATTACTATCTTCACTTCACAGATGGGCAATTTTAGGTTCAGAGGACTTAGGTAACTTGCTCGGCCACATTGCTAATGAATAACAGAAAAAAGATCCATTCGAGACCAGCCTGAGCAAGAGCGCGACCCCGTCTCTACTAAAAATACAAAGAAATTAATTGGAAAACTAAAAATACATAGAAAAAATTAGCTGGGCATGGTGGCACATGCCTGTAGTCCCAGCTACTTGGGAGCCTGAGGCAGGAGGATCGCTTGAGCCCAGGAGTTTGAGGTTGCTGTGAGCTAGGATGACGCCACGGCACTCTAGCCCGGGCAACACAGTGAGACTCTGTCTCGAAAAAAAAACAAAAAGAAAAAAGATCCAGCCCCAATCTATATGATGTCAAGGGCACCACTTTCCCACTACACCATGATTGCGTTTCTTGAATGAGTCCCGAGGCTCCTTCCTAGGGTTTCAGCAAATGGCTGTGCAGGTTGCACCCCACCCAAGGGAGGTGCAAGTATAAGGGGCAAATAACTGCTCAAGTCTAGCCCCTGCTCTCCTGGTTTGTCATGACCTGCATCCTCAAGGATGCTTCTGCCCAGAGAGGGGCCGTGTCCTAATGCTCACACAGGTGTCTAGTGGCCTTGCTGTCTTGCATGCCCTGACCCTTTCAGCCTACCAGTCTCTGTCAAGTCAAAGTGGTAATCATAACATTATCCTATGACATCAGTTGTGATAACGATGATTGATTTTCATATGTCCCTTGAAGATAATTATCTTATGTTTACATTTATATGCTTACTAATGATAGGATATTATTACTAATACTAACTTCAGGGACCAAAGCCAATAACACTTAGCTGTAATTAAGAAAAGTAATTTGCTATCAATGAAAAGAAGTTCTACTCTATGTTCACTCTGTAAAAAAATGATTAATACATGATTTTCATTAATGAAAATATAACCAATAACATATACAATTAATCAAAGACTTTTGTATGGTAAGAACACTTTCATGTCAAATCAGAGAAGAGTTATGTTACAAATACACTTCTCTCTCTTTCAAGAAAAATAAAAAAACCCCTGAAGATTGGATTAAACAACTCTTCAAGCTTCCAAACACATGTAATAAAAATACTAGCTCTTTCATTTAAAAAAATTCCATTTCCTATATCATAACGTCACTGCACAATAGTTGATGATTAATGAGGAGAACTAATGCATGCTTTAGCAAAAATTTGCAACAGAATCCAAAATGGCAATTATACTGTTTTCCTAGGGTTGCTGAAACAAATTACCACAAATTTGGTGGTTTAAAACAACACAAATCTGTTATCTTAAGACATGTTTTGTAGGTTAAAGGTCCAAAATGGGTCTTACTGGGTGCTATGATTTAAATGTGTCCCCCAAAGTTCATGCGTTGGAAACTTAATCCCCAATTCAATAGTGTTGAGAAGCGGGACCTTTAAGAGGTGATTAGACTCTTCCCTCATGAATGGATTAATTCACTCTCTGTCCACATGATACTTTCTGCCATGTTATGATGCAGCAAGAAGGCCTTCATGCTGGCACCTTGATTTTGGACTCCCTAGCCTGCGGAACTGTGAGAAATAAATTTCTTTCTTTGTAAATTAACCAGTCTGT